ACGACGCATTGGTGGCCATCCAAAAAATTGCACAGTGACGCCCAAAAGCAGGCAACAACACACAAAGCACTCGCGCACGCATGTCCTATGTACATACTTGTGCCTAAATGTACAGCACTCTGTGTCTCTGTGTATGTGTGTGTGTGTCTGTTTATGTGTCTCTCTGTATGTGTGTGTGAGTGTGCTGTGTACATTTTAGCGCATTTTTATATAATTTCCACTTTGTTGCCCCGTTTTATTTTTTGGTTGTTTTGTGCTGCTTTTTTCTGTTTTTTTATTGCACCGCGACCTTGCCGCACCACACCAGGCGCCATGCAACCAGCATATTAACTTTGACTGCATTTGCATATGCAGCAACATCAGCAGCAGCAGCAGCAGCAGCAGCAGCAGCAGATGCAGCAGCAGCAGCATAGCTACTGCAACTGCAACTGCAACTGCATTTCGCCGGTTTTTTTTTTTTTATCTTTTTTGCTTTTTTTTGGCTTCTTTTTTCATAAAAAACGCCCAGCGACTGGTCAGATAATCGTTGGCTGCATGCATCCAACCTTTTTTTGGGGGTTGTTTTGCACGCACACACACACACACGCACATACGCATCAAAAAACATGCAACAAAATTTTCATAAAAAAAAATAGGGGAATACAATTTCTACATTGCACTTGGCTTATTTTTAACTTTTTTTTTTTCATTGCATTTCATTGCTGTGTGTGTGTGCGTGTATGTGCATAGGCCGCCCACATGTCGTCTGCCCAGCAATTGCATTCAATGTCATATTGCACTGAGCCAGCAGCCTCTGCTTCGGCCTCTGCTCCCCACCCCTCCCCATCTCCCTCTCTCTATCTCTCTCACTCACACCCACCTGCTCTCTCTCTCTATTTCTCCTCTTTGTTTGTGTTTGCCTACTTTTTGTGGCGAGTTACTTTGCTCGTTTTTTGGGCAGTTGGCGCCGCTGCGTTGCGTTGCGTGCGTTATGTGCGTTGTGTGCGTCAGAGCGAGTCGGCTGCTGGGCATCATTTGATGCATTCGCCTTTTTTTAGCTTCTGCTTTGCGCTTTGGTTGCATTTAATTTTTTTTTTTTAGTTGTTTCTTTTTTTTTTTTTTTGGTGTTATTTATTATATGGCGCGGGACTTTTTGATAGGCCTACTCACGCGGCTCAAGCTCTGGAAGCGCTGGCAGGTGGGCAGGGGCATTTGAAATTTTTCGTCTATGTGGCGAGCGGAGTGCGCGGCTGCCTGCCTAACTGCCCCAACCCTCAGGAGCTCCATCGAGAGTGAGAGAGAGAGTGTGAGCAAGGGAGAGCGAGAGAGTGAGTGAGAGAGCCGCCGGTGCGTATACTTAATAATAATTGTTGTTGCTGCTCAGATGCAACACAGTTTGACTGTGTGTCTGTGTGTATGTGTGTTGTCCTTAACTAAGTAACTATAATGAGCTGCACAGTGAAGCAAACCCGACTTGAAATGCTCAACATTCTATTTAAAAAAGCAAAAAGGACATCTGCCATATGATGGTACATATCATATATGTCCTTATATGAATATGATATGCTATGACACGATACATGTGATAGGGTATATGATCTAAGAGAGTCCATATAATTGATATATACGATTGATATCATGTGAAGATTAATTGTTTCAGTATCCATGCGATATATATCAGTGAACTTATGTATGATACGATGTGATCTCTTGTGAATCTACTTGATCTGATATAATATGATAATAAATAGATGATCTCTATGGCATGCGCTATAGTATGATATACACAAAAGTGATCTGATGTGATATGTTCAGTACGGTACGATATGATCTCTGTAGGTTCCTTGGGATCTGATACAATATGAATATTGATAGCTGATCGCTGTAGCATCTGCTTAAGCATTCCTAAAACGCTGCCCTTTGCCACAAGGCTTGCGGCACTGTGAATTTGGCAGGGGCAGCGTGAATTTGTATAAAACGAGAGAAAAAAAAAAACAGAAAAAAAAAACAAAATAAAAATGTGCTCAACATTCTTCTTCTTCTACTACAACTCTTTTTATTTTAAATTCCAATTTGAAACGTTGTGTTGTTGTTGTTGTACGCACGCACGCGCTTTGTTGCTGGTGTTGATGCAACTGCAACTGCAACTGGTGTTTGTGCATTATGTGCCATATGTATGCATGTGTGCATCTGTGCATGTGTGCATGCGCGTGTGTGAGGCAGCATGCCGAATATATAAAATTAAAAAATAAAAGGAAAGGAAAAAAAGTTTTGTGGGCATTTTGTTGCACTGGACCCAGCTTTTGACAACAGTATCGAACAGCGACGCCGACAGCGCTGCTCGTTGCGATGCTGGCAGCGCAGTCGACGCTGCTGTTCGCATAGGCCGAGCAACAAAAAGGACGAGAGTGCGGCGCTCATTTGCCAGTGCACGCACACACACACACAAACACAAACACATACACATATGTATATATGTATATATAGGCATATGTATATTCAATAATATATGTATGTGTGTGTGGGGGACAGGTGGGGGAAGGGAATGGGTTTGGGAGGTGTGCACACACACGCATTCACACTCACACACACATGTGCATTTTTATAGGGTTTCCATTTCGTTTTTTTTTTTTTTTTTTTTTTTTTTTTTTTTTTTTTTTTTTTTTTCCTTTTTTTTTTTTTTTTTTTTTTTTTTTTTTTTTTTTTTTTTTTTTTTGAGCATTTGGATTACGCTTTGTTGCCTGTGTTTCGTGTCTCTCTCCTGTGTGCTTGTGTGTGTGTGTGTCGCTCAATTTTTGTTGCTCTTAGTTGTTTTGCTGGTTGCCTTTTTATATTTTTGTTTTTCATTCCTTCTTTCGTTTTTTTTTTTTTTTTTTTGTGTCAGTGTTTTGGGCAGATTTTTATTTTTCGGCCGCGGCTTTGAAACTGGAGGAGATGGAGCAGCGGCAGAAAATGGAGAGAGAGGTGATTCAAGGGCGGGGGGTGTATCTGAAGGGGCAGCCGCTGCAGTTCAGCTGCAGCAGCAGCACAGGCCTTTGGTCAGAGCGGGCGAGCGACAGCGAGAGAGAGCGAGAGAGGACGAGTCAGGGTTCGGGTCGAGCCGGAGCTTGAGAGCTTTAAGTAGGGGTAGTCAAAAGTTGTTGTGCGTGTGTCGATGACGATGATGTCCATGTTGATGATGATGAGACGCWGCTCATTATGATGTTGCCTGCATATTATGTGCAAGCCCTGCAGCAACAACTCAGAACGGACTTTGCCGTTGGAGCATTGACAACTGCACCAACTGAACACATGTGCGCGAGCGAGAGAGAGAGAGCGTGAGTCAGAGAGAGACAGCCGACGACGACGCCGGCTGCGACGTCGGCGACGACTGACTGATCCCAAAAAAAGTTTTCCTGGGCAACATTATATTCGAATAGTTCAGATCCATTTAGATGAACATCAGTTAGCTATCGGATTGGACGTGCGTCGAGCCGAGCCAAAAGCAAAACCAAACCAGCCAAATAACCAACAAACAACCAACAGACAACCAATAGACAACAGACAATACAGCAGCCGAGGATTTGCTTGACAGTCCAAGTCCTTGCAACAGCAACATGCAACAAACTAACAATTGTGCGTGCTGCCAGTGGCCGAGTTGCCGTTTCTAAAACTAAAACAAGAACTAGATCTAAAAACATAATCAAAGCCAAAAACAAAGCAGAAAAACTGAAAAAGGCGGCAAAGCGCGCGACGTTCATCTTTTTTTTTTTCTTGTTCAAGTGCCAAGAGAAACAATTGTTTTTTTTTTTTGTTTGATTGCCAAATGTGAACTGCGAATAACTGAAAAGTGAAGCTAAGCAAAACATAGAAACATACAAATTTGTGTCTCTCAAGTGTCATCTGTGTCTCTATGCAATGGACTATCTTTTGTAGCCGCCCTTACCCAGTCGAAGAGCTAAACAACTCCAAACCATTCGATAAGTGTTTGCTTGCGCCAAGCACTTGGACCTGAAGCCGAATCAGAATCAAGTTCAAGCTCAAAGCAGCTTTGCGAAGGTAAGTCAGCTTTTCCAAATTTCCGTTTACGTTTAACACCTGCATTTCCGTTTCGGATTTCACGCATACCTAAGTAAGTACACGATCGAAAGGAATTCTAAAGCATTCGATTCGGTTTCTATTTTATTTTAGCTAATACTGAGATGCACAAAGTATAAAGATAAATAATTATACTTTAGTAGAAGATACTAGAATACTTTCAAATATTTTCAAAAATATGTTGGTAAATTTAGATACTCTCAGTTGCTCTGGGATACTTTGAGATGATTATGTAAGAACATTACCAAAAGAAATTCCAAAGCATTCCATTCGGATCCTGTTTGCAGAAAGCACAAAAATACATGGATATATACTTTGAGATACTTTCAGTTATTCTGAGATACTTATAGATACTGTCAGATACTCTTAGATACTCGGTGAGATACGTAGAGATACTTCTGGAGACTCTCAGTTACTCTGAGATACTTCTAGATACTCTAAGTTACTCCGAGGTAGTTTCAGATACTCTCAGTTCCTCCGAGATACTTTTAGATACTCTCAGATACTTTGATATACTTCAAGATACTTTCAGATACTCTTAGATACTCTCTAAAATACATAGAGATACTTCTAGATACTCTAAGTTACTCTGAGATAGTTTGAGATACTCTCTGTTGCTCTGGATTCCATTAGATACTTTCAATTACGGCACAGAAAACATAAAATTCAGTTATAATTTGAATGATTTTAATGAAAAGAAAATTTATGCATTCATTATTATTAAATATTTTTATTAAAATGTTTCTACTGAAATAAACTAAACTAAACTTTTAATAAACAAAACAAAACTTTATACAATTTGTTAAATATATATATCTGAAATCGCAAGGAAATGAAAACGAAATTTGAATTTACGACAGATATATAAATACTTTATTTGGAGATATTCTCATATGATATATGTAGTACATAAACAAAAAAGACAAAATGAATGGCCTACATACGAATAATAAGTCCTTACTCTTTTAATATTTGCAATTAGCTTAGAAATGGAAAGACATTTCCTGGGAAAATCAAGTATAAATATATACGTTTGTATGTATGTATTCAGCTGCTCCTATAGTCCCATCCACCGACCAGCGTGAGTCAAGGTTTCAGCGCTTTGTTGTGCCCTTGTCCCCAGCGAATTGGCCAACGGATTGCGGCCGTGTATCGATTGATTCGCCGCCAAGTTGAGGCAAGACCTGGAAATAGACAAAACAAAAGTTTTCAAATTAGAATTTAATATTTTAATCTCATTCAAATCGAAATCCATGAAATACGCCTATATATACACACATATTTAAGTGCGCCATAAGCTCTATTACACACTCCCATGCCGTTGTCGTTGCCGTTTGGCTGCTGGCGTCAGAAATTACAAAGTTATAAAAACAATAAGAAAAACGTTTACTTTATCATTTTTCACACCCGGCAAAGGCAACACAAAAAACCACACAGACACAGAGTGAGGTAAAGAGACAGAGAGAGAGAGAGAGAGAGTGAAAGAGGATGGGAGCAACCTTTCAGGCACATCCACAACCACATCCACATCCCCAATGTATAGAAAACTACTAAAACGACGTTTAACACGCGGAAACGCGAAAAACTTCTCGTACTCCCGTTAGACCCGTCCGTAGTCCCCTTAGTCCAGGATGCGGCATGTGCTGCGGTCGTCCGAGAGCAGCTTCTGCCTAAGCCCCTAGCCACACGGCCACACGGCCACACACAGCCACACTCAGCCACACAGCCTCCGCGCCAGCCTTTGTCCGTGCAATGCAATAGCTCCAGCTCTAGCTCCAGTTCTAACTGCAGCACAAAAGCAGGCTACAGAAACAAAAAGACAAGGGCGCTCGAGTCGAGAGTGCTCGACTAGCAAATACCCTGAGCTAGGCGTGCATGGTGCTTGGTTTGAGTACTCTCGATTCTAGTTCTTAATAAAGAGAGCAGTTGCTGGATCTGAAATAAACATGATCCTTGCCGAGTAGCCCAAGCACGAATGAAATCCATGTTGGGTATGCTTTGAATAATAGGTGAATCTAGAGAATACTTATATGGAATACAAATTATCATCCAACACTCGTTAGCTTTAGTTACGGCTCGATGGGATTCTGCTGACACTAGCACCCAATAGACCCGGTTTCTACTCCGTTCCAGGGTATACAAAAGCAAAAGTAAAAAAAAGAAGAATGTAAACATAGACAGAGTCAACAAAGTTGTTTGAACGCAGTCACAGGACGCTGCAGGGCCTGTGCCTTTGCTAGGTGCAGAACACTTTTTTAATAATTTCCTCTTTTTTTTCGTTTAAAGTCAATTGCTGAACAAGGCAAACGCTATCGTCGTTCACTCAATTTGATGGCCCAATTGTAGGATCTGTTTATGCATTTACTTAGCCAAACGCCAGCTTTTAGGCAGATCTCTCCCCCTCTTCCGCCCTCCCGCTCTCTTTCGCGCACATACATACACTTTGTCTGGTTGCAACCGCTAATGCGAGCTATTTAATATCAATTTGCATTTGCTGGCTAAATCGCTGCTTATTAATTAATCGCAAATTGAATGAAATTAAAGAAAAGTGCAATAAAATGTGCCCTTTGCTACCTGTGTGTGTCTCTGTGCGTATGTGTGTGTGCGACTCCTCTAAGCCTCACTCTATCCCAAACGAGCTCTCATTTAATTATGCGGTCTTTGTGTGCGTAATTGCCGGCAATCTTATTTAATTAGTGCAACTGCAGCGCTGCTTGCAACTCATTGCAGCAAATACACAAGCGTTTCCCTGTTTTATACTAGCAGGGTTTAATGGTTTCGTGGGATGTATGTAACAGGCAGAAGGAGGCGTGGCAGACTATATCAAATAGATRTATATGTATGTATGGATTTTAGAGATGGGCAACGCGCCAAAGCCGTACATCCATGTCCGTCAGTGCATCTGTCCGCTCGTATGAGCGCTGAGATCCTGTAAACCATATATCAGATAATACTGTATTCCAGATAATAATATCAGCTGCTCTCAGACTTTGATTTTTCTTAACCTGGAGTCTTTCTGGAGGTGCAAGTCACTACAGCAAGTACAATCAATAGATGTTTTGGAGTAAAGCAGGAATCTCGATTAGTTATCTATTCGAATTTGACAATGATGGTGTGTACTTTCCAATCTACAACAGCATCGACTCAGCAGAGAAGAAGAACAAGAGACAGCGATTGGATCAGCTTAGCTCAGTACAGTACAAAACAGACTCAAGTCCAAATTTGAATTCCGATTCAAAACCAGAACCAGAACCAGCTCGGCATCACACAAATTCCAAGCAAAGAAAATAAGGAGAAGAAGAAGAAGAAAAAGAAGAAGAAGAGCAAAAACACACAATTTGTTCGCAGTTAAATTGACTGCAATTTTTTGTTTTTAGGCAAGAGCGAAATTTACGGCCGGTTCAATGACCCACAAAATTGAAACCAAACAAAAGCCCCCCAAAAAACAGAACCAAAAACCAAAACAACAACAGCAAGAGATTCCTCTTCTGTGTGTGTTTGTGTGTATGTGTGTGTGTGTGTGTGTGTGTGTGCCGATCTTCAAGCTGTTAGAGAGAGCGAGAGCAAGCAAAAAGGCATCAAACGAGAGCGCAGCAGCACCAGAGAGACAACGAGCGCAGGGGAGGGACAACGCGTGTGCAGTTGTCAAAAAGCGGACAAAAATAAAAACCCGAAACTTGCAAACGCACACACACAGCATGCATACAAAAATATCAAATAGCAAATTACTCATGCGACGAAGGCGACGATGACGAAGAAGAAGAAGCAGAAGCAGCAGCAGCMGAAGCAGAGGACGACGATCAGCAAAGCTTGTAAAATGACCAGCAGGGGTTAGTGGCACTTGGTGGTTCCTACTAACAAATGAGAAGGTGCATTATGCAGTCGGTAGTACCCGTCCACTGCAGGGTTAGATAGGAGAGACGAGGAACGAGTAATGCTCAGTGATCAGGGATCAAAAACCAAACAAGTGACGATCAAAAGGATACGAAAAATTAGAGAGATTGCGATAGGCCAAAGGTTGCAGGCAGGGGATCGTAGCACATGGGGCATATGCATAATGGGTGAGCCTCTCTCGGGCGGATCTCTGTGTGTGCCTTGGCAATGCGGTTTCTAAATTAGAAGCAATATACTTGTATATACATACATACATATACTTGTTATACATACATACATATACATGTATGTACATGAACATACTGAACAAACTGTACTAAATTGCATATAGGAATTCCTAGCTACGTTGAAAGTCAAAGAGAAAGTGACCAAGATAAATTCCCATTGTTGAGCAATCCAGTAAAAAAGGTACATTAGAAAGATATTGATAACGGATGAACAGCAGGTACAGATTGCATGTAGTATATATGTAGATAGTCTATTAATAATATGTGGATAGTATAACTATGTTAGATGCATAGTAGTTAGCATAAATACTACTACTTGCACTAAAGATATCTATCTATAAGCATGAAAGACGAATTTTCCATTTATACAAATACCTATATATTAATATATGTATGTTAATAGATCTTAAAAGCAAATATATGTATATATGATGAATATACATACATGAATACGTACATATGTTCATATGCCAAGCCCGTACTTTATACATACAATATACATACATATGTACATACACACACTTGGGGTATTTAGTCGAGAGCCAAAAAGCGCAACGAATTTCAATTCCCCGGTAAGACTATATTTATATACTCTGTACATATAGACATATGAATATATACACATATATTGTATATAGCTTATAGAACCGTCTGCTATATTTTTTGCAAAGAATTATTGTTTGGGAACAGAACAGAACAGAACAGAGCAGAATTAATATTGCGTACCAGGAAAGGCAAGGGCCCAAACAATGCAAAATAATGCAACGAACCTTGTATCCGGTTAGACTAGAATTTCGGGTATTAAATGACAACAACAACAACGCGGCAGCAACGGMGACAGAGGCAGCGGCTGCGGCAGAGAAGCCATTCTAATTTAGCACGAAATTTTAGGCATGCAAATGTAGAGCAGTCTATGTATGTATGTATTATACATATACATATATGCACATATGATGTATGGATGGATGTATATGTATGTGCATATGTATGTGCATACTACAAATGTTCATTGCTGCTGTTGTTTCTTTTGCGCAGTATCAAACGCCTACGAAAATATGCGCAACTGCATAGGCGACAGCAGCGGCAGCAGCGGCGGCGACGGAGGAACACGGAATGAGAAACGAGAACCAGAACAAGAACGACACTTGTATGCCTTTTGCACACACACACACACACGCACACTCGCCGCATACACAACTGCAGCTATTCAGCTTTGCTGCTTCTGCTCAAAAGTCAAGAAATAATTTTTTTGGCAGTCATTGACCCGAGCGAACGTCATGGCCAAGGCGACAAAGAGGGGCAGGGAGAGAGAGGAAGAGATAGAGAGGAGGAAGAGGAGGCGAAGGCGATGGCGATGGCAAAAGACGATGTAGAAAGATAGCAAACAACTTAAACACAGAGAGCGATAGTCGCCGCTCACACACACACACAATTTTCTGACCTGCCGATGATCTCACTGAGAGAGAAAGAGGGAGTGAGAGAGAGAGAGAGATATAGGGAGCGCAAGCGCATGCAGTTTCTTTTTTCGCTCTCATTCGCCACGCACGTAGGCGAGTTTTTTTGGCATGTCTGTAAGTGTGTGTGTGTGTGTGTGTGTGCGTATGTGTGATACAGGGTGCTTAGAAGCTTGCAGTGCATAGCCAGACAAATAACCAAAAAAATGATTCACGCGAGGCGAAACCGCCAAATGCGTGTGGAGAAGTGCATTGACTTTAGCTTTTCAGCGATTTGCGTGGCATTGACACATGAGCTCACACACACACATGTTTGATTATGAATACTAAAATATATACATCTATGTGTGTGTGCATGTGTGTGTGTGTGTGAGGCAAGGCTTTGACCTCAACACTGAGTGATTGACTAACTGAAATTAGCAGTTGCCCACATCACAGTGAACTACGATCACCGATCGCCGATCGCCGATCGCCGATAACTGATCACACTGATCATACTGATCATACTGATTACCGTAAGCATGCTCCCCGCTCTCTGGCGCTGCCCTGCCAAATGCCTGTTGGCCGATAAGGCAAGAGTTCACTGGACGCTGCGCAAAACAACTGCAA